GGAGTTGTGGATGGAAGTTCTCCACGCCAGACACCTCAGTGAGTGCTGCACTACTGCCGTCTGTCAGAACTGCAGGAGGTCTCTTCTCGGGCCTTCAGACAGGCGCATACTTGACTCAATGGGTGGGCAAGTGGATGATGTGAGGTGGTCACTGGCACTTCTCTTAGTTGGAAGACATTCGTCTTTCCTCGCCAACTTGCTCATTGTCACATTGGCACGTGGATGTTGGCGGTAGAGAAGGTGTGTCAGTCAGCAGTGATCAGTTGTAGTCCGAGTGCAGGCTTAACAATGGTCCGTGTTTTTTTGTTGGTGAATGACGAGATGAGTGGAGGTTGAGGCAGGTGGAAGCAGGTGGGAGAGTTGCATAAGCACAGGGATCGGGGAAGAGTTTGTGATGACGATGAGGAAGAAGGGGTGAAAGATGGGGCGTCAGCCTCAAGAAACAGTGGTTTAGAGTTGGAGGAGGCGAGTTGAGCGGAGGGTGGAAGGAAAGAAGATGGCACTATTGTTTTGCTTTAAATTCGCCCAACCGCTATTCGACTGAAGGCAATGCGAATGTGGCGATTGGTGGTAGAGGATTTGTTTAGTGCAATGTGAGTGAAGGTGTGAAGATGAGATCGTTTAGGCGTAGAAGGGCGGAGGAGGAGGAAAAGGAGGATGTTGAGAGACATCTCCTTGCCTTCCTCCACGTCGACATGGCGTTGCGCACACACACACCTGACCTCATTCGAACGTTGCATTGGCGCCACAGCCGCCACCACCACCACCACTACGGTCGCTGTCACCATCACCAGTTACAACAGTAAAAGCAGTAGCCTCGTGTGAAGTGTGTCCTGCTGCAATGGCATGATTGAGTCGGAGTGACAGGTGGTTGTCGAGAAGGAGGAGGAGGAGGAAGACGTGGTGAGTGCTGTCTGTCTCACCAAACTGAGGGTGCATTGAGGGCAGTTTGGAAGAAGTCAACAATAAATGGGCTGTTGCAGTGTGAATGTGGTGGGAGATGAGAAGAGGCAGCAGCATGTGAAAGTCATGAGAGGTGTTTGGGAGGTGGGCGAATGAGGAGGATCGAAGGGGAGGCGAAGAGGAGGATGGAGAAGGGATGGAGAATGGCATGTGATGTTGGTGCTGGTGGGAGATGTTTGCTTTTTTCCCATACAACATGGTCAAGAGAGGTGCGCTATAGATGGTGAGGGCAAAACTGAACTAAACAAAACAGGTAATTGTTTAAGTAAGATACGCAAAGCATTGTCAATGATTCCGTGTGCCTCTTGACCTACAAAAATTGTCGGAGTTTTTTTTTCTCTTTAGACTTCCACCTGGTAGTCGAATGGTAGGACAGATGCCCTCGACAATCAGCCAAGATCTGCTTTCCGCCTCAGCGGGAGGTGCAACTAACGGAGATGACAATCAGAATTCCACCTCTTCCACTACTAATGGTTGTGGAGGAGGTGTCAATGGACCTCCTGAATCCCTCGGCAAATCACCATCTGTCGTAGCCATGGTCTCCGCCAACTCTCCCTCCGCTCTAGTTACCACACCTCTAATGAATTTCTACGATGCTTCTGCGGCTAGCGGTGGTGGCAACACCTACGTTTCTCACTCCCATGTTGGCAATGCCTCAGCTCGTGTTGGAGGCAAATCAACTATTGGGGATAATGGTGATAGTTCCACTCACACTCCTCGTCCCTTCTGGCGCTGCTCTTGGCAGTACTGGGTCATCCTCATCTGTGTCCTTGCCTTCCTCCTTGCTGTCAGCTTTGCCGTCTTCTTCTCGGGTTAGTTTTTTTTGTTTTCCTTAATCCAAATGGATGACTTTTAAAGGCAGTTTATGCAAAAACCGAGTGGCTGTGCACCTCCAAATCCACTCTCACCATCTTTCCTCACCTCGGCCTTGGAGAACTTCAAACGTTGACGCTATCCATGAATCTACCTGCCACAGCATGGCTTCATTCATCGTCCAAGACTAGGCAACACTTTACCAACATTGCATTCTACTTTCATATTATCACTTATTAAAAGATTTAAAATGGATCGCAATTTTTTTTGTTAAAAGCACAGTACACGATAACCTGGGTATTTCATGTCCCCTTTCCATTTCACACCATTTTTGCAACATCTGTTTATTTTAATCTAAAATTCTACCAACACATTGGTTTATCACAATTTTGATAATCTCAGTGCCAATAAGAGCCTTTCTGTGATAATAGCGAGAGCGATTATGCCCTCCTCACACGAGTTAAAATCCACCCATCATGTCCCATGCCTCTACAACTAACATCAAAAGGCACACATTCTGGAAATTAGCTTTGTTGTAAGAGCATACAATTGGTCTGAACTGTTTTCCTCCTAGAAATAAAAAAATACTACCGATTTCCACCTTTTGTTTGTACTTTTCGCCTACTGCCATTGTCATTCTGCCAACGGAATTAGGCGCTTTGACATGTATATACCATTTTCTGAATACGCTTTCATTTCTCACACAAAATACTTTCTCTTTGTAAAGATGTGTTGTTCCTTGATACATTTAGTGCATAACAAAGGCACTTGTTTTCTAATAAAAGGCGCTGTCACCACGACTTCAATGACCTTGAAACGGACCAATGGGAGGTGTAAGGTCATCTTGCCTTTACTATGTCTATGCCGCTGGAGCCTTGTTTCTCTAATATGCCATTCGAAGTAGTTACAACTATTTTGCTCGCCATTTCCTGTTGTAATTCATCTTAAGGAAGGGGAAAGTTGAGTTGTAGTGCAGAAGCAAGACGCCCAAAGGTAAGCCAGGCAGTTCATTCCCACACTACATCCGGTGTTCCGAAGGGCGTACGCGATCCAGCCTAGCTACCATGCCTACATAATCCTACAGTGGGAACGCATTTTGTTCTGCCTCTCTCATTCATTTCCTTGTCCGGTAATCTAATTGTACGTGGTGTATAAGAATGTGAACAAGAAAAGAGAATGCAGTCATGTAATCACCTCTTTTGCTTGTTTCTTTTGTAGAAAATGCAAAGTGGTTGGAGAATCGACTACACGAGAAGTATGCTCAGGACCCGGCAATATTTGGCAAGTCAAGACCATCAAAGAAACATTTCTTAACTAGGTTAATTAAAGTGAGGGAAGAGGTTTGTCTTGAAGTGAGTTAATCCCGCCTAACTCCGATGCCTTCGGTCTGTGTTTTTGGGTCGATTAACACGGCATTAAGGATGGAATGAGGGGATTTTAGTCATCGGTCTACACGCCTTATTCTTATCAGGCGCCAGTTTTTTTCTTCCTCCTCTCCACCCTCACCCCTCCCTCCACCGCCTCTTTAAATGTACAAAATGGGTGGAATCAAATCCACAGACACGAAAACATACACACTCACGCTAATGCATGCACACGGCGTTTTGCATGTCACGTAAATCACATTTGTTTACGAAATTTGGAAGCCTTGTAATTGACGCACGATTCCTGTCTGTGGTGCACTGTTTTTTTTTTTTTTTCAAGGAAGAGAGAGGCAACGGGAGTGATGCTGGTGGTGGGCGAGTGGGGGGAGGGGGGGGGAGGGACGCAGCGAACTACATCATAATTTCAAGTTGAATTCACTTTCCTCCCCCCACCCCTCCCCAAACCATGTTTCACCATTCTAATGGCTCTTAAAGACATTGTTTGGCCTGTTGTGAACACATACACACACAAAGTCTTAAGCCTGTTTTGTCTGTCACTCGTTGTGGCAATCACTCGTGTAGCCATTTACAATGCGTGACCTCTTGCCTTCTCCTACAACCAACCAATTCACCTTACCTCCATCCCCTTACCTTCTTAATTACATACACAAGTCTTGTTAATGCAATAAAATCTCCTAATTATTTTGTATTAATGAGAGAATCTCCTCTTATTATTGCTTTTTTTTTCTAATAACTGTCCAGGTCTCTTCGATCCTCACAATCCACCACGTAAAGTGGAGCCAAACACCCAAGTGAAGATACATTTGGAGCCAATGGGTTTGTGGGCTGGTCATTGGCACATTCAAAGTGACCTCTGCACCATCTACAACATCACATTGACCTCAGAACTCTCCTCGGTTGGAGTGTTTTTACGCTACAGTACGATGCCCACTATTGTGCATTACAGTCATTTTGATCGTATTCTCGGTCGTCAATTGAAGGTGGATGCTGTGATGAAGAAGGATACCACCGATCTACCCAAAGAGGCCTTTCCTTCTGTCCCCTCTGCTATTCATGCCAAATCGGTAAGACAAGAGGGCTCTTTGTGCATTGACTAAGTTGCCTCAAAGGCGTGGTTACTGATCAACCACCTCCCCTCCTTTGTCTCCACCCTCCTCCCTATTGGAGCGATCAGGACAGTCGGGTCGCCCCCCGCCTTTTTTTTTTACAAAAT